CGCTGCTTCTGTTTCTCGTCTTTCTTACTAATGTACGCGAATCGAGCTGCTCTCGGAATCTGCATAGCGTTTGCGCAAGGAATAGATCCTAGCACGATCCTTTATAAGGACTCGTCGCCATACCGCGCGTTGACTGACGGCACAATCCTCGATCCTTTCGCGATACTACGGAGCTCCTCTCGGATCTTTCCGGGACGAAGGAACTGGCAGCGAGAAACAGACGAAAGAACAGACAGATGGACGAACGAACGGACGGACGGACGGACGTGCGCGGTAGCGAGAGCCCTTAATTATGCAATTTTACGCGAGAGAGGGGTACGGGAGGAATGTAAATAGCTAAGCTGACTCTCGATAGGACAGCGATGCGGAGAGATCTTACCCTTTTAGTTAGCGGATGCCGCGAGATATCTAGTTATTTTCTATCCTTTTTTTTGTTAGAGAAAAAGAGTAATCAAACAGAAAAAAAATCATGAAAATTGTTGAATTAGAAGATATACGTAAAGAAAGATATACTAAGAATATTTATTAAAGTTCTCAATCTCGATAGACTCCAAGAAAAATTGTTCAATTATCTTGTCAATTGAACTATTTTGTACAATTCTATTTTTTATAAATTATAAAAACTGTTTTAGAATATTTCTGATAAATGAATTATAATTGACTCATTTTTAATTTACTTTAATTCACATAATTTCAACTCTCTGACACTAGAGTTTAGTAATATTAAATATTTACTATAAAACAATTTGTAACTAATATTAAAAGATTTATGACTTAAATTTGTCAATAATTTTGTCCAGTTTGCGATAAATATTATTTGATTTCAAATTACTTAAGATGTTTTTCGATTGTATGTACATATATAATATATAATATTAATAACGACACCAAATTAATGCAACAACAGGCAACAGCTCACATATAAATAATACCCTCTGTAGTTATATTAAAAACAAGATTAGCGAAATACTATGTGCGCGAATCAATGGAAACGAAAGAGGGAGCAACTGTACATGTACACATCGTTGTGCACACATTTCGTGACGCATATGTGCGTGAACGGTTGATTGCACACGTGTGCAAAGCCCGTGCTGGCTCGTATACCGATCTGAACCGATGAAAGGGAACGAGAAACCGGTTGCAGGTCGATCGTACAACGCGACGGTTTCTAAGTTGCACGAAGGTTTCAAATGTCCCGGGAGTGGTATCAAACCGATTTCCTACAATACTTGTCGCATATTATATCGCCGATTTATATATAGTTAGCTCGTCGCCACGCACAAAACGAAGAATATGTCGAGCGTATTAGAATTTTTAACTGAACGTAACACCTACTGCACTAAGATATGAAATCGACTAAATCAATTGCCACAAGTTACGAGTTATGCTAAATATGTTAAATTCATCAAGTTTTCAATTGATGCACGCAAAGCTGAAATGCAAATTAAGCAACTTCTATTACGCGAAACCAGACAATATCTTCTTTTTTTTCTTCCAATAAAAGTGGCATTAAATCTGGCATTTACAACGTGATTTTTGCTATTTTAATAGATAAAAGGGGTTTCAAAATGTGTGATGTATGTATTTAATTTATTTTGAGGGTATTTGAAGGGTATAAGTAAAAAGCAATCTTTTGAAAACTAAATCTTGCTCTTTGTTTCAGAAACCTATCAAAAATATATTTATGTGGATTTAAATACGAGAAGATACGATTGCAAGTAGATGATGATTTTAAGATGAAACATCTGTATAAAGGAAAGTATCAAAGTGTACTGCTATTTTTGCAAAATTATCGCATACGATATTCCACATTTCACATGCGCTCCAACGTTTTCCAATAATCAACGACATTCCAATCACGACGGTATTTTTAATATTTGTAAAATGTAACCCTTGTACTGCGTCTGTCTCACATAGCGGCGAACGAACGCCGCGTGTCTCGCGTGAAAGCACGTTAAGTCCAGGCGGATCAGTTTCTAAGGAGAGAGAGAAGAGAAAGCCTGAGAACATAAGAGCAGCAAACGTCTGGAGTGCGCCTTCGCCACCATTCCGCATCCAGAGTATCGCGAGGTATATAGTCGACGAGGCTCGAGACGAGATCCTTGCCCGATTCTTTGGAGCAAGTATCAAGTCGGTTGAATCGCAGAATATTCTCGCGTTCGTGCAATATTTAATTAGAAAACATCGTTAGTTAATTGATTGTAGAGCCAAGATATGTCAAAATGCAGTCTTAAAGCAAAATAAAGTTGTATATCGTAAAATAATAAAATTAAATAACGGCTAAGATGACAATAGAATTAATGGCTAATTAAAGATGCGACATGCACAAAACATATTTATCTCAAGATCATTATTGTGATATCTCATATTTTAAATCCTCTCACATCCTTCACGTTTTAAATCCTCCACTAAATATTTTATATGATTTCAAACATGCTACACACACAATATTTTGTATTAATATACAATAAGTATATTCTTATTTTTTTATATTGTTAGTATCTTGTTTTTTTATATTATTAATTATATATTAATATAACGATCTTTCCTTCCAATATATAAATATAAATATAATTTTGTGAATTTATAAATATGCTACTAGGAAATAAAACAAATAACTAATCTTAAATCTATCGACTTGAGAAAAATCTATCGACAGTTCGAAATACTACACCAATTGACAATGCAGAATAGCAATAGTGCAAATAGTTATAATTATTCTCCTGCAATTTTTCCTATTAGACTTTCCTTATTTGCCATTTTACAACGATATATGCGGCAATACTCATTGCATCAATGTAAGCATTACGTCACATTTAACCGCGATTTATGTCCTGACGAAAAGTCAAGATAGAAATTTACCTAGTAAAGCATTAACGATTATTTTCTGGTTTCTTATTGCACACAATCAATAGAGAAGACTATTGAATTACTAAATCACAATACCCAAACCATTATTCATCAAATTTTCGCAGATAAACACTTATTAAATGATTTCTAAAAATTTTCTAACTTTTTATTTATATTTTATTTTCAAATGTAATCATAGATGATTATAATTGACAAAAAACCATTAAATTCTTTTTATTGGTAAGAAATTTAAATATAAACGCTCCAAATTTTATATTTATTAAATGTCTTACGTTTAATTCGTAACACTTATCAGTCATTTCGTGTTATTATAATTTTGCGTTATTATATTTCGAGAAAGGTCACGTTCTCACAAGTGTCATTTCCGTTTCTGCTAAATCATTGCAATATTCGTAAATTACTGTGCGCAGTAAAGCGTTTGATTTCGGGTGTAAGAAACATGAAATTCTCACGAGCGAGTTAGTTCAGCCTTTCAACAGCGCGTTGACCATTTCGATCATTACCAATACACAAACGAATATTTTTTAGAATTATACATAATAGAAGGTAGCACTTGGCAAGATTTTGCATGCTGCATTTACTTAATTTTCAAAGCGGACACATTAACGCGCTTACAAATTGCATCATGTCTGATTACCAGCGACTGTAAGCAATTATCAGTATGAATCATGCATTTCGTTAATTCTCAATTGACAGAATTCGTAATATTTATATGGAATTGAAGTATGGAATGGAAGTTCAAATGTGTTATTATATATATAATAATTTATCAACAATCCCTAAAAAAATTATCATATCTTTAATGAAAAAAAGTCTTAATTTTTTCTATCTTGGTATGTTTGGTCACTATTGCTACCGAAAAATCAATCATTGAAAATATTCATAACATCTCTAACTGACAAATAACAATTTTGCAATTCCAACTATTTTTTATATCATAAGATAAATATAATTAATATAACTGATCTAAATTCTTAACTATTTATTGCTATATATTACACTATTATATAGTGCATATGATGATACAAGTTTATTAAAAAAAAAAAATAATTAAATTATAATAATATTATTCCGTCGAGCCTTTTATACAATTTTCCGACAACCCCAGATCACAACCGTATTCATCGAACACGTTTCAGTTGGGGACGAGGGTCAAAACAGGATGCGATCCCCGTAGGAGCAGCCACGGTCCCTATTTCATGCGTATATTCGCGAATGCCGAGGGAGCAACGAAATGTCGAGTTGAAGCGTGTTAAGCGAAGAAGGAGGGATAGCTCGCTTCCTGGAAAGCGGGGCTGGGCACCTGTCCCTCAGGGTCTGCCAACTTAGACGAGGGCACACGGACCCCGTATTTCTATATCACAAATGAGCACCGCTGCATTGCTAGACACACCATCACGTGTGTTTATTTGAGAAACATTGCTACAAAACAATCCGCACATTTATTTTTATGCGTGTAGATCTACCAAACGCGAGAAAGAGACCAGCAAAATGTATTTCCTCGTGTATTTTAAATGCCCTCTCGGTGACATGTAAAATAGATCGCATTGATAAAAGTTTTGATAACGTAATTGCAATGCTATCGCATAAATGCGAGCGAAAGAGTATCAGATGCAAGACACCTAGCTTACAAAAGCAAACGCTCAGAAAGTGAAAGATCCTGGACGTTGATTCCAGTCATTCACATTTGATATTTTATTCTTATTTGGATATAATATCTCGACAAATGTCAATCATTGATACTCGCACTTATACGCACTCGTATTTGTACGAGAATTTTTGTGAAATATTCATAGGATCGTGATATCAAACACGGTTGCACGCGCAATAACAATTTTGATGGCGGTCGACATTTTCAAGACAGATAGTAAGGAAAGAGGCAAGCGCAATAATGTCCGACATGGAGAGACACGGGGGAACGAATAGCGGCTGGACGATCTCGAGCAAGAGAACACGGAGTCGCGTCGCGTCCGACGCCGAGTTGCATCTATCGTATAAAGTCACAATTTCCTAATACCACGTACGATAATAACGCGCCGGCGCTCGGCGACCTGTTGCCTAGCAGCGCACGACATGTAAGCGGCTCCGATCGTAAAGCGGGTAATGTAAATACACAAAGTTCTACTCACCGGATACCGCAGGTATGCAGAAACATACAATCACCAATAGTGCAAACGGCAATAATTCGACCGTGAGCGCGTAATCCAATCTTCGCCGTGGCAGCGACATGGTGCCGTAAATATTTTTCCTTTATCCACACACGTTGGATAGATACACACTCATCGGGGGGAGACACGGGTGCACACACTCGGGAAACGAACCAACACTAACCGGCGCGCACACTTGTTCGATATCAGAGAACGTGTATTATCGCGTACCGTCACTTGACCGAGTGCATCGTACGCGATACGCGTCACCACGGGTACTACGTCACCAGCGGGTCCGAGTGTGCATACGTTCGCGCAGTTACGGAGAAAAAAAAGCAAACGGCACGACATACATGAACACGACCGCGTCCGAAACACTTCTGGGATCCCTATTGTTCGCTTAACGCGCTGAAAGTAGTTCCACTCTGCGCGCGCACCTGCCTCCAATCGCTGTATTACTACGCAGTCGCAAGCTGGCTGACAGTGTCGACGAATCAGCGCGCGGATACAGCAGAATTGTTGACCGTAGCACGCTTCTTCAATCATCTTCCATCGGAGTGAACTCTGCGCCGCGCTAAAATTGTCACATTGTATACAAATATTTAAATTAAACTTATAATATATATATATATATATAATATATTTATATTCATATATTATTAAAATATATTACATTATGTTCGATTTTAGCAAAAATTTGTATCTTATCAAAAATTAAATTGTTCGAAGGGATGGATATGTATATACATTTGCTGTACCATTTTTTATAATTATTATAAATTTTGCAGAAATACATTTTTTATTATTAAATGTCTAACATAAGTGTTGAAATTAAAAAGTCGGTTAAAGGATAGCCGATCGGTGAACCGAAATAATTAATGTGGCGTTTTATTATTATGGATCTTTAACAACAGATCCCATTATATCTCGCGTGAGAGACGTCTTTAATTAATACTTGATATTTCTTTTTTCTACGACATTATCTTAATCGCGTGCAAACAATCATTTCTAATTAGATCGCGAACATAAGAAACGTTCTGAATTTTTATGATTAGGTATTTTAATCAAATTTCTCATGCAAGATTTTTGAAAGAATCTAGAAAAATCGAATCTAGAATCTCTCATTTCTATTGATGTCTTTCAATAATTTCATTAAAGATATATAAACTTTTGCTTCTAAAACCTTTTTATATAATTTTTATTACTTTTTATAATATTTTTTAAGCATAATATTAAATTTATTATAATGTAAAATCATATGTGCAATTAATAAATGATAAATAATAAAATTGCTATTAAATTTTAAAAAGATTATTTCTAAAAATATCAAAAACAGCTGAAAGTTTATCAATATGGTGTGTGTGTGTGTGTGTGTGTGTGTGTGTGTGTGTTGTGTATGTGTGTGTGTTTTGTGTATATCAACAGTGATCGATAATCAACAGTGATAAAATAAACAATCCTATTCAAAAATCTCAATTTAGCATTAATATAGAGTTGTATTAAGCAATGATTATATAGTTGATATCAATGTGGATATTAAAACAAATATTCATTTCTTACGAGATGAAATACTGTAAAGAGTAATTACTTACAATACTTCGAACGGCAACATGCAATGAGTCGCGATCAGCACATCGAAGAGTATAGCAGTGCACTTGATCATTAATTAATGCTCGGCCGCCCTTGATTGCGTGTAACGCGAAATTCATTGCAGCTATAGCTTTAGCCGCCGGGCGTCTTAACGAATACAAATGCGAAATTATTTTTCGGTAAACCCAGCCATAAGATCTTCTCGAGGAAAAGTATAGAACCTTTACGAATCGCTTGTAGTCCTTTGTGCCCGCAGTACACAAGATGCACGCACGAAGCTGCAAACACGCGCTTCCCATTAGCCTTATTAATAATGCCATTAACCTTATCATCGAACTGCAAACATCTGCGCCGGACGATGACAACGTGGCGCGGCTACGATACAATTGTCTTGTAGAGCACAATGGCATCCAATTGATGAGATTCGTCGCTAAAAACAAAATAGCTGGAGATATGTATAATTAAAATAGCTGGATAACTGCTATTATACATCTGTTTTGAAATTTCTTCATCGACATAATGCGATATTAATTATAAAAGAGAATTATTTCCTACATTTCTCCCTTTATTTATTATTTAATTTTAACGAGTATGTAGATTTTTTAAATAATTTAATTATCAATTTACAGCAACGCAGATGTACATCTAAATCTATAAATATGTAACTAATAATTTTAATCTGTTTGAATTAAGCGCATCACAGAACGACAGTTAGAAAATTAGATTTGAGTTGTCCAGACAACGGAAACAACTTTATTAGATCAATACCATGTTCCATGTGGTAACCCTTTTCCATTCTTGAAAACATGTCTGAACTTTTGACCTCGTCCATCGCCGAAAACAAGCTTAATGAGCTTAATAAAAAGATTGTTGAAATCAAGAAGAAAATCCAATTATCAGGTAACAGTTCAAATTATACAAAACATCCTTCGCTAATTTATACTGTTCCTCACAAGCCGAGTCAATGTTGCAAGACTTTAAACACCAGAACAAAGTTGTAAAGTCAATCTTACGCTTACATATAATATCTCATTTCTACACTGTTTTTTAATGATAAATATTGTAGTTTATTTATTTTTTCAATTTTTTAAATTTTGATATATTTATAACTATCGAGTAATAAAGAGCTAAAAATAAGAAACTTTTAATGAAATTTCAAAAAAGGAAATAAGAAATCATGTTCTTTATTTTAACATGTATTAATAGATATTGATAAAACATTAATATAAAGTTAAAATAAAGTTACTTCAAGTCGATTGATAAATCTATCATAAAAAACACATTGTAATGTAATTTAAACGAGACATTCTATATTTCAATATTCAGACATTTGTACACCACAGAGCAAGATGTGTCAAAAAGAGACAGCTCATTGAGAAAAAGAACATTTCAGAAAAAGGATCACAATCATATTGTACAATAATAAATATAAAAAAGTAAAACTGGAAGAACTAGTATTCGAGATGATATGGTCTCTCCCATATATCGTTACAACTAATTATAAATAAAATAATAAATAGTAAAATAGTAAAATAGTAAATAAAATTGTGAATTAATAATAATGTCAGGGCTCCAATAAATTAACAAATAATCTTGGGAGAAAATTGTAAATAAAAATAGCGGAAAAAAATGAAATAAGAAGAGAGGCAAAATCTGATGGCCGATTGGCTGTGTAATGTATGTAAGACAATGCGGAAGATTATATCTCCACTGCATAATTATAGATTGAGAAAGATTGTCATGCTATTAAATATAATAAAAAGTTTGAAGAACAAATGTGTATATCGCGCAAGTAGCGATAAAATTTCATACAATGTATAAATAAAAAGTGACTAACAAAGTCTCTATTCTTTAGAAAAAGACATTCACATTAAAACGTTTATATTAATTACAATTGAAAAAATCAAAATCTAAAGATTTAGCAAAAATTTATCGACAAAATTTGTTGATATTATTGGTATAATTATTTTTTTCTATATGCGTACTTATATTATATTATTACCTAAGTTAAATCATTTTACTTAAAATTACATCTAACTAAAACTAGATTTTGTATCGTAATCTTAAATTGTTACAAAAATCTTTTAGCAATTGTTCTTATATTCTAATTATTGTTTTAATTTCCTAATTTATGCACTGAAGTTTTGTGCCGTTAGCAATTTATTAAAGTAATTTATACTAAAAATAATTGTAAGAAGAACTTTTCATAAATTTATTTATCAAAGAAATATTTTTATAATTTCTAATATTGTTATTCTAATATTTTTATTATTTCTTGCGCAAAATGTATGAAGGTAACCATTAGTGGATTCTGATGTCGATAATGGGGGAGTTTCGACCTGCTTTAATGCATTTTTACCAAGATTTTTGAAATGGATCCAGCAAAATTGATTTTTTTTAACTTGAAAAGGTGGAGGGGTTTAACCCCAAACCTTCCCTTAGGATCCGCCAGTGAAAGTAACCATAATATTTTCTTTTCTTTTCTTCCAGAGGGTCAAAGAAAAGCTAATTTCGAAGAATACGATGCAAAGAAACGAGAAAATGCTCAAAAAATTGCTGATCTAAAGAAAAAAGTCAAAGAACTTTATGTGAAATATGCACGAGCAAAAAATGTAACATGGATTAAAAATAAATAGAGTAACCAAACACTAACTTATATAAACTAATACTAAATTTTTCAGAATAAAGAAGCCATGGAACATGCGGCTCTATTAAGCCGTGATTCTATCGCTTGCATGAAGAAAGACAATTTGGAGGAGATTATAGCTACGGCAAATGAAAATAATGTACGTCTAAGAAAAAAATTAGATTTAATTAAGTATGAGAGAGAAACGGTGAGTAACTAAATATTCTTTTGAATCATATATACATATACAAATAATCTGGTAGAAAAGGCGAAAAGAGCCGTTGCTAGATGTTTGTGCCACAAAAATTCAACTATATTATAAAAATTATAGAATTACAAACGTTTCTGCCTATGTTAGGCCTTCTTCAGCATTCTTCTTAGTAAATAAATTCCATTATAGAAAGATAGACAAACTGGAATTGTGATTAAATATCGGATCTATATATATATATATATATATATATGTATATATATATGTTTTTGCATAAATAGGTTTTTCTGAATATTTTGTGTATAAGAATATTCGAGTAAGGTGCTTCAAAATAAATATTTCATGAGATATTTGAAATTTTTGAGTGAGGTATATACTTTATTCAAGATGATGTTCAAATGTATTCCACCGTGACATAACCGTGACAAAACATTTTGTAATCCATTTTTTTTATGTTCTACATCACAGTATCAAGATGATCACTATTTACGCTTAAATAATCTATTTTAATCTTTTCTTTTAAGTCATCAATAGCAACAAATGGACACAAATATACTTTATCTTTAATTAATTACTATAAACTGTGGTCAATTAATGCCGTTTTACGCGTCCTCGAGTGTTTAAACTCAAAATCCGTAATCGTAAACATGATGGAACATTTAAACATCACCTTGAATAAAGTATATATCTTACATCAAAATTTCAAATATCTCATGAAATATTAAGTGTATAAATTAATTCTATGCCTTTAGTTTTACTCATTGCTAATAATTATCTTAAACTTATATATTTTCCTATCTTAATGTAGTTTTAAAAAACAGTCAATTATGTTCACTAAATGCCAGTTAATACAGAAAAATAAATTACACAATCTCAAAAATCAGTAATAAGTACCGTGGCCACGAATAAAGTGTATATCAGGCACAGTATTCTTTCTGCCTTTTTATTTTTAAAAAATGCTGCTAAAGTCGCCAATATGATTTGTACGATTCTTAAAGAAGGTGCAGTGTTTTGTTTCCAAAGAAAGCAAAAATTGGTATCAAAAGTTTCGTGATAAAAATTATAATTTGAATGATAAACCATGTTCTGGTCCAAAAAAAATTGAAGATGAGAAATTGCAATTGTTACTCAATCAAGACTCTACAAGAGCAAACTCAAAAAGAGCTTTCCGAGCAGTTAGACGTGATCGGTGAAGCCATTTTTGTTTAAAATTTTTAATTTTGCAAAAAAGACACCAAATTAATTTATACACCTAATATTTACTTTTCGAGGTTCTTACCTTAATACTGTTATACGCAGAAGAACTTATTTATGCAAAAAAAAATTATATAATTCCATTAAAAAAAAGTACAATTGTACTTTTTCGATGCACTATTATACTTACCAAAAATTGAGTCAATAAAAAAATTTTTCTTGTTATGCCATTCAACTTTTGACTCTACCATTTTTTTCTATTTTTAACAAAACAAATACTAGAATCCGGTCCAATTGCGTGAACCACCTTATATAACAAGTTACAATGTTAAATATATTAAAAATTATAAATGATGGATTTTTTATAAGAAAATGTTATATTAATATTACAAAACAAACGTTTCAGCCTGTCATAAAGCCTTTCTCAGTGTTAAAGTAACAAATAAAACGCACGTAATCATGTAAAATCATCATTCTGATAATAATTTAGATTGCACGAATAAATCAAATAAATTAAATAATCATGTAGTTAGTAGATAATGATAAGTCGAACATTTCGCAGTGATAAATTCCATTTAGAAGTGTCCACCGATTCAAAAAAGAAAAAAAGATAGAAGTGTCAGAAAGAAATATATAAACTGTGTCCATGACTAAAATATTAGTCAATATATAACTGTCAATATATAAGATATTCGACTTATCATTATCTGTTAACTACATGATTATTTAATTTATTTGTGCAACTGAAATTATTATCACAATAATAAACGGATATTATATTTTAAATGATTGCATGCGTTTTATTTGTCATTTTGACACTGAGGAAGGCTTGAAGACAGGCTGAAACGTTTGTTTTGTAATATCAATACATGTCCTTTTCGCACAAAAAACCATCGTTGGCTCTTTTCGCTCCTTCACGTTTTAGTTTGATGAAATACATTAACATTTGTATTCTACTAGCACGAACACACTTTAAATATTTTACAAACGGAGAGCAAAGAATTGGCGCATAGACGCGGTTATTGCGTATTTAAAAAGAAAACTGAAAATCCTATGAAGAAGGTAATTTAATTTAATACTTGGCAATTAATGGTTTTTATAAGCGTAATCACTTGCACAGAAAATCGAAAGTTTGGAAGTTCAATTGGAGCATATTCGAATGATGCAAATTAAAGCAAATATTGCGCGCATGAAGTATCGCTCTGTCTGTTCCGAGTTAAAAGAGAAATCGGTTTTCTATTCTTCTTCCTTAAAAGACCTAGAAGAAGGGATAAGACAACAAGAGAATGAGATCAAGCGCTTACAGGCAAGGTTATGAAAAAAATAATAGAACTTATATTATAATATAATACTAATGACACGACGAAAGTAATAGAAAAGCTTTGATGAGACATTCCGCTTAACATCATTATTGCAGGGAGTGAAAGAAGAAGCAATAGAATTAAAAGATAGTACTCAAGAGACCCTGGTAAAAGAAGAAATTGAGAAGACAAATTCCAGCAAAAAACGCGATTCCATTATCAAGGAATTCAGGTCCGCAAACAAACTTTATATTTCAAATAGTATCTCCACCATAACGTTATGAACGTTGTTATAATTTTTTAATGATAATTCCATTAATAATAGAACTGTTCATTAATCATAAATGCAGTTTTTCTAACATTTTTCGATAACTATCATTATAAATGTAATTTAAAATAAAATTCTAAAATATTTGCACAATCAGGCAGCGCGTATCAGAACGAAAAATGGAATTGGAACAATTGGAACGTATGATATTTCATACCCGACCACGGAACAATTTTGAAATACGTGGGAAAACTCGCCTACAAGCACAAGAGGACATTATCAAAGATGAACTGGCACGGCTAGAGGAGGCGTTTGCCAAACTGCGAAGCGCCACCGGAGTGTCCAAATCTGAGGAAGTTCTGAACCGGTTTTTGGGTCAACAGGCGACTAAAGAGAGTTTACAGAAAATGCGAGCAGCTACAGAGCAAGAAAAGATGGTACTGGAAAAGAAAAGACAGGAGCTCAGCACTGAGATAGAGACGAGAAAATTTTCGGAAACAAAGAATGCCGAACAGTGAGTTTTGTCGAGAGTAATAATTATTAGCAAGTCCATTAAAAACTTATATGAATAAATAATTAAATTTTTCAGAGTCAGTTGAGTTTATAATTTATTTCAAATTTACTTAAATAACTATTTAAATAATGATGACTTGCTTCAAAACTCAAAATTTATCAAGGAATCCACTTCTAAAGTTTTATTTATTATGGCATACTCAGTGGCGGATTTAACGGTCTGCAAATCGGACCGAGCTCCCGCCACCCCGGCCCAAAAAGGGCCCCATAAAAAAATTATTTATTAACATTTTAAGTAACCCGGGGCGGCGTGTAACGCGTAAAATTGTGAAATAGACTACGGTACTCCTAATTCTACTATCAAAGAACATAAACGCAATGAGAAGTATCAACTCGCTACGTTTCATTCTCATACTGATTGAGATTGGTTTTATTTGGAATAGGCGACAAATTTTAAAAGCTACAAATAAAAAAGACAGCAATTTCGAAAACAAATTTAGTCATTAGTCATCAGATTCAACATAATCGAGATTCGTTAAAATACGCGAACACGTTAACAAGTGTTAAAAACAGACCCTACCTACATAAAAATGGGTCCCTTGTTTGCGGACCGGGCCTTTTTCCTTAAATCCGCCACTACATACTTTGTATAAAATGAATTTGATCCACTGTAGTTTTGAATTCCTCAATCCATAATATGTTAAATATTTCAGAAATGCCGAGGTGATGGCAAAACTCAACTCGGAGATCGATAAACAGCAATCTCGTAGAGAAGACGCTGAAATTGCAAGTCAACGAATCCGCGAACTGTTAAATGAAATAACTCGTACGCTATATAAGTTGTGTGACAAATTTCAGGTGAGAATTATTAATCATAATTTTTACACTATAGAATTCAGAAATGACCATCCGATTATTCAAGTAGTAAGACAAAAAGACCCTTAGAAAGGCACATTTTAAAAATGATAAAAATTTCTACTCAAATAAATTAATATTAAACTTTTTGTTAAGAATTTATTTTTATAATAGAATGGATAATTTTCATAATTTTTAACTTTAGTAAATAAAGATACCTTCTCTAAGTTTGACATCAGCGCGAGTATAATTTCCCAAGAGATTCCCCAGCATAGTTTAATAAATTCGAAAAAACTATCGATACTAAAAGGATAGAGATAAACAGATAAATCCACATTTGAAAACCCGCGTGATAAGTCAAACAAAGATAATGATAAAAAATTATTGACCGAATGGTCAATGGTTAAAGTAGAAGAATTTATATTAACGCTTTTTCTTGTGCGGTATGTTCGAACCATGTCGCCGTGAATTATCACGTGCAAAGGAACATATTCGATAAATAAAGCCCTGTAATGTTAGAATGGAAATACTGTGTAGACACCTAATTGAATTAGTATAACCGCCTTTAATGGTGTCTGCTACAGTGAACAGTTCCGACTATTTATCGTTCTTAGAAGCTTAACATCCCTAACATCACACATCTCATATAGTTGATAGATTTTCTTGAATAGTCCGTGTTTCGTAATTCTCACTTCAAGGAGTATCGCCAGCTCCGTGCATTAACACACTTTCAATCGAAAATAAATACTTCGACAACGTAAGACAAATATCGTGTGAAAAATCAGTATTGATTCTATCGAAGTTGGATACCCATCAGTTGTTAATTCCTGACACAAATTATCTAATCAATCTTTTAGACATGCTCGTGTTAAAATCCCATACAGCACAGAACATTGCAATTACATTGCAGCAATGTTATAATCTTGCAAGTTGCAATGTAATATTGTTGAGACATTATTGGAACATGTAATTATAATATTTCATGAGAATGTGATAACAACATTCCAAAAACATTACAAAAGCAGTATTTGGTAATCGCTAGTTCGTTCGTTTACTGCTATGCGACGCACATTGCACTATCTATCTCGCATTTAAGTTTTAGTCACGATGATTACATAAAACTTGCAAAGAGTGGCTAATAAAATTAAAGGCATAATTTAATTCTTATAGGTTTCCATTAAATATATATATATATATATATATATATATATATATATAGGAAGTAATATGTGTGATTATAAATATAAGTTAGTTTAATGGAAACCTATAAGAATTAAAATAAAAGGCATTTGCTTCGCTATTGCATTATTACAAATACATTGCATTGCAATGTTGCTATAATGTTTCGTTGCAATATTACAAAAAGTGAACATCTTAACGTTGCCGCAATCTTACAGCAACGGTGCAGCAATGTTTCACAATCAATTTGCAATATTACAATGTTTCAATGAAATTATTCTGCAATATGTTTGCAACCTTTCTGTGCTGTATGAGATTGATAAATAGATTCTTTTTCTGTGAAAATTTAATTCTAGTCAGAGACAGATCTATATGAAAACTAATAAAACTTTAGTCAAACTTTTAATTATCGAAAGGTTGCAAAGTAATATCGTTTAAAAATATTTGGATAGTTTTTAAACTTATGTATTACGTAGAATAGTAGAAATAATTATTACCTATAATCTTCGATACTTTATGTTAAAAACTTCTTTATCCAATGAAATCTTGAATATCGCCAATATTTAACATTTATAGCATGCTACAGATGCTCCTTTGCTTGAAGACAAAATAGATGATATTTTAGCGCTTATTGAATTATTAAGCGATAAAGTAAAACATGGACTCGATGTTTTAAGCATATCTGACAAATATATCGAGACAATGGATGAAGCATTACTAGACAAGGTACTAATTATCTTCAATTGCACATTTTAGAAAAAATTCACGACTATGACAAATTTTATACTTCAATTTGCTATTATAGTTGCTTTAGTTTAAAAATAGTCATAATCTTAGAAAATGTTTATATAACAATAGCATACAATATGTTACGTTTATATAAGTAAAAATTATTTTTTTATTTTTTAGTGGAATAGTAAGAATTATCTATTATTCATATTGTATAAATATTTTGTATATAAAGAGATAGTTATGGAAAATAAGTATTGAAGCTCAATACTTAGTATTGAGATTGTAATACTTACAGTATTCAGGTAATACTGAGTATTGACAGTCAGTATTGGTGAATATTAAGTATTAGAGACTAGTATTCGTCAATACTTTAGTATTAAGGGAGGTTAAGTATTGACAAATATTTACTATTGCAGTCTACTATATAGAGTTGCAATAATAAGTATTTGTCAATACTAGTACTAAGTATTCGTCAATACTAGTACTAAGTATTTATCAATATTAAGAATTTCTCAAAAAAAGTATTGGCCAATTTACTATTGACCAATATTAAGTACTGAGAGCGCGATACTTATTATTCGTAAGGGTATTTACAAGCAAAATGTTAGCACGCGCGCGCACACGCACGTACTCACGCATACAATGGTCTAGTTTACACCAATCGTTTAATATGCGTTTCAAGTAGTATATTCATATTAAATTAGCTTATAATTAGTCCCACTGTGTAAACGATAGCGTGCTACACAGGTATGATACGCATAAAAAAAACGTATCCCAGGTAGAACACAAATTCATAATAACATCATAATGACGAATTAGTGACTAATAAGTGACAAATAAAATAATGATATACAGAGTGTTTTATAATGTCCGTGCCAACGCTCGTGTACGGATAGAGTGCGGTAAACTGAATAGAAAAGTCCTTTACCGTTTTGCAATTTTCGCAATAGTAATTGAGATATTAATTAAAAGGGATTGACGAATAATCGCGCGTTGATCGCGGCTAGATCGTAGGCTGTACGCTCTAGGCGTGACAGCAATGAGAATCGCATAGCAACGAAAAATAACAACGCATATCACACTTTTGCTCTCGCTACGTGTTATTTTTCGTTGCCATGCGATCCTTGTTGTTGTCACGTTTAGAGTGTACAGCCCACGATCTAGCTACGCGCAACGCGCGATTATTCGTCAATCTCTTTTAATTAATATCTCAATTGCTATTGCGAAAATTGCAAAACGATAAAGGACTTTTCTATTCAGTTTACCGCACTCTATTCGCACACGAGCGTTAGCACGAACATTATGAAACACCCTGTATATCATGAATTTTGTGTTCTATCTGAGATATCGTATCAAAATAATATCAAGCGTATGTATAGTGCTGTAAACGTTCATATATTAAGGCTGAGTTCGCAAACCACACTTTAGGTTTGTCGCGTTGCATGTTCCAACATGTTCCTACTCGCTCCAATACACTCCAATCTATATACGTAATAGTATACGTAATGTAGTACTATAGATTGGAGCATATTGGAGCGAGTAAAGCCAGCGACACACGGTACGTTTTTGCTTACTGGATTGATTGCAAGTAAAATACTAGAAATACACTATGCAGCATACAGTATTTTTAATAATTTACTAGCTCGCAATCAATCCAATAAGCAAAAATGTACCGTGTGCCGCTGGCTTAAGAGCATGTTGGGACATGCGACGGGAACAAACCTTATATCAAAAATTCAAATAATTTGACCAAACACAATTTTCCATAAGAATCGTGCGGAGTCCTTTAATTCAATCAATTTGTTATCGTTCAATTTGCTAACATTTGATTATTTAGAATCTATTAATAGCAAAAATCATTAAATAACTTTTTATGAGCAACAAAAAATTCTAAAAAATTTATTATTTTTGTAAATTTATAAGCATTCTGTTACTATATTGCTTGTGAGTGATTTCTTAAATTTAAAGGTTTCGTATAATTTATATAAGCAGAAATTTAAAAAATTCTTAAATTAATCGACCATAAATATTATCTTTGTCTTTCAGTTGGAAACAATGTCGGCTACTACGACTTCGGTAGATGGTAGAACAATGCATGTTAACAGCGGCGGACCATTGTTTCCGCGATTTCCATCTTGTGCGACTCCGGCTGCTCCTCTTTCAGAAGACGAAGAGGAAGTTCCATCGCGAAACGTATTAAAAAGACAAGCACAATTGCTTGTCGATACTAAAAGCCGTCGTAAAGGATTCGCTTTTAGAAGATAAACTGTTAAAATAAAAAAAGAAATTAAATCAACTATTGTAAAATTACATAACCCTATTTTATATATATACAGTAGAACCTCCCCATACAGCACACAAAGATTGCATACACATTGCATCAATCTTTCATCGCAATGTTGCAATATTGCAAATTCACTGCAAAATGTTGTTGCATCATTGCTGTGGGATTGCAGCAACATTAAAATGTCCGCTTTTAGGAAGATTGTAACGAAATATTACAGTAATATTGCAATGTAATAAATTTGCAATAATGCATTGTTATTGCAAACTTAGAATAATGTTGCATATATTTTTATTTATTCAGACATTTATCTGTCCGATTTTTGAACAATCAGTTTAATATCTGAATTCCCTGTGTTGAGGTCGTATCAGAAAAATTAAACTAATAAAAATAATTACTATGTCTTTAATCTTACTAGCCACTCTTTGCAAGTTTCATATAATCATCATGACTAAAACTTAAATACGAGATAGATTTTGCAATGCGCGTCGCATAGCGGTAAACGAACGAACTAGCGATTACCGAATATTGCTATTGCAATGTTATTGGAATGTTGCTGTCACTTTCTCGTGAAATATTACAATTACAGGTTGCAATAATGTCTCAACAATATTACATTGCAACTTGCAAGATTGTAACATTGCTGCAATGTAATTGCAATGTTCTGTGCTGTATGGGTCGATTATCCGTGGTAATGTGGCAGGAGCATACCTCGGATAACCGAAATCTCGGATAATACGGAAAATAGATACATACAAAGGCTGTTTTAACTTTTATGTATGTATGTTTTTTATGTATTTGAAAACATAACCTTATTATTATAGATAAAAATATAAAATATAAGAGTCAATTGACGAATGCACATTATTCTTTGTTGCAAACATGCGTTATTGGCTTAACAAAGTCAGTAATGCGAAACTGCTTTAATTTGCTCATGCGTTTTTTAGCTGCAATATCTCTTCATCTTTTTATTAATAAGAGATCACTTGCAGTAGCTTCTGATTGTTCCTTAACATATTTAAGCAGCGTAACATAAATTCGTATTAACGTATTATCCGAGTTTTTCCGTATTATCCGAGCAACCGCCTCGGTTAATACGGAGTGCGAATGAATTCGGTGCCTCCGATTACGCGGAACATCGGTTAATCGAAGGTCGGATAAACGAGGTTCTACTGTGTATATATATATATATATATATGTTTGCTATAAAGGCCAATGTCCACAATGCTAGAAATCGGTCCGAGAAACATATAGCCAATAAAATTGCCGTTTTTCCACAAAAAATGCAAGTTTATTGGTTATACACTTCTCGGACCGAGATCTCGGACCGATTTCTAGCATCGTAGACATTGGCCTTAAAGAACGTTTCAGTGCAGTAATCAACATAACGCACCGCGTAATATTAAATGAATTATTAGATTCTTCGGATGAAAAAAATATAAATCTAATGCCACCATTTATACCTCTTTTAGATGACGATGGAGATGGTAAGATATGTATTTTATGTGCAATGTATTGTAGGGATGATTTTAAAAGACAGTGGACACTATTTAGATACTTAGTACAAAGTGCAATGTCATATACAGTAGAAATATGGGGATGGCAGGAAAAAAAGTTAGAAAAAATAATGTTAGATTATGTCAGATAGATATACAGGGTGTCCGATAATTGTTGAATCACCTCTCAAGTGCAGGTAGAGCGGGTTAAACCGAATAGAAAAGTCCTCTATCGTTTTGCGATTTTCGCAATGTAAGGTCAATATTCGAATGTATCGAAAATCTCGGAAGTCTCAAAGTGTATTGTTGACGTTTTTCCGCGACGCTGACTGGTTATCTCGATTATTCTGACAGTTTGATAGTTTGACAGCGAATGTTATTTTAACGGTTATTTAAAATAAAAAAAATTTAATCAAAATATTTAGATTTTATAATTATTAAATTATTATAATAAGTGCGCGTGCCTGTATATTCTAGTACATTTATTGTCAGGACGGGCGGTATACGCCCGTTCTAGACCGGTTAAATCCTTGAGATATTTGAGTTACTACGTATAGTACGCCGGTCCTGCTGGTTTATTCTGTAACCTTAACCTTAACGCAGCTATTACATAATGTAAAAAACCTGCGCAACAATATCGACATAACGACATTGAAAGATTACAGAATAGGTCAGCTAAACCGGTTAACCACGAATGTCAAACCTTGTGGAAAATCGTAAAAAGAGTGAAAAATTAAATAATAATTTAATGTCACAAAATTAAAAATTAAAAATTAATATGCAAATACATTGATATAAAAAGAAGATTTACCAATATTAAATGTTAAACAAAAGTTTTTATTGTTTTAATTTTTTATTCCAATAATATGTTTTAAAAATAAAAATTGATATTTTTAACAAAATAATTATATCTGTAAAATTGCACACATTCTTACAATAAAATATATAATTCTAAGCATGCTGTGGTTCCTCTTTTAATGTTTCTATAAAAAGTCGCTTTACTATGTTTCATATTATTTTCGAAAAAATTTTCGAAGATAGACTTAAAAAGTCAGAAGTCTTGCTCGGCTTTTTAAAACGAGAAATTATTTGTTATAAGAGAGTACTTTTAAAGTTACGTTAAGATTAGGTTAAAGAATCTATTCTTTTAAGCAACCATTTTTACTAAAAAAAACTCTTAAAATCTAAACTTACCTTTGGATTAATTGAATCTTTGTATTAATTATAATTGCGGCTTGAATTGTACATACTAATCAATACTAACTGCGTAACTAATAATGCACGTGTTGATCGAAAGCGGAACGGAAATAAAATTGATAGAAGTTGAATCTTGATCTATTTTTTGCTATGCATTCTGAACGCTATCTATATACAAGGTGATTCAAAATAACCTGATGTCTTTGCAATGCCATATTCTTGAGCGAATTTTGAGACGATTTTTCCTTTTACAAAATTTTGTCCAAAGCTTAGTTTCGAGTTATGCTGCCTCCGCGCACACAAGCGGGATCCGTATACATATGATGCGCAAAACGCTCTGTGCATCGTGTAATGTCACGCTGTGTACATACTACTAGCATTAAGTGCGATATTTTTTCTGCATAAACAAAAGACATATGTATTATAAAAGGCAAAAAGGCGATATATTATAAAAATTAATGGACAATTTATTGAATGGTAAGTACGGTTTAATTGGATTCATTTATTATATATTTCTAATAATTGTTACTAATATATCTACTAAATATATCGACTAACAATAACATCACATCAATATTATAATTAGCCACTCAACAATGTAATTGTTATATACAACATGTTATAGTGCATTTACATTGTTGAGTGATATTGAGTGAAATTATAATATTGGTGTAATGTTACTATTACCCAAATGAACAAAAAGATATCTTTTAGATCCCTAAAAGATATCTTGCTATGTCTTGAGATGTCTTACATTTTTCACGAAAAGATATCTTTTAGGAATCTAAAAGATATCTTATGCAACAGTTTAAGATATCTTTCAGATATCTAGAGTTGTCTTTTAGATATCTTGCAGATTCTAAAAGATGTCTCGAAGACATCTTACAGATCTCTTTTCGATATCTTTTAAATATCTTTTAGATATCTTTTATATGTCTTTTTAGATGTCTTGAATATATCTTTTAGATATCTTTTTGAGAGATCTTAAAATCTATATTGGAAAAATGGATAGAAACATAGCACGACAATGTTAAGTATATTAATTATAAGTGCAAATTGCTCTAAACTGCAACTTTTAATTAATATACTTAACATTGTCATATTATGTTTCTCTGATAGAGAAACTTGAAAACAATTTTTTCACTTGATATTTTATTAACACAGTATATTTTATTAATAGCAAATATACATATATGAAAGATGACGCCAAATGTATTTCAATCGAGAATATTGATGAAGCAGTCCTCTATTGTTGTTTTTTCATTCTATATCTCATCTTATCACCAGCATGTTGTAACCAGCTCTTGATATGTTTTACAATGGATGTAACGGTGCAGTCAGGTCCTTTGCCTTTTGTAAAACTTACAGCCGCTGCAAATATATACATATTTATATTAGTAGATAAATATGGTTAGAACAACATGAAATATGGGTTGAGGAAGATTTCTATTTATATAAATAAAAATATTACTATTCTAAAAAATAGCTAGCAAGTTGTACTTCTATATAATTTTTATACATTATAAATGTCAATGAGTATTTTCATACGTGCATTCACAAAGAATATAAAATAAAAAATAACAATGTTAAAACCAAGACTCATGTAATTTTAAACAAATGAAGAGGAAAAAAGAGAATCTTGAGCCAAAGAATTTTTAGTTATTATTCTTTTAAAAATTTATTTAATATTCCAGTTTCGATTAAAATTTAACCATCAGTACATCTTAAGCAATATTAAATCCATTATTTATTATATATATAATTATTTGTAAAAGCCGTAAATAATACATTGTCATTTAACAATTGGAATAATTAAAAGATTGTTTTGTAAAAAATATGTATGAAATCATAAAATAATCACAACACAATGAGTACTAATTAATTAAATAAATGAAAGTATTTTAAAGATTTGATATGTTGCATTACGTGGCTCTTACAAATATTATATATATATAATAAATAATGGATTGAATCTTGCTTAAGATGTACTGAAAATGGTTAAATTTTAACCAAAACCTATACGAAATGTTACTCGAATATTACATAAATTTTTAAAAGAATAACAACTAAAAATTCTTGGGCTCAAGATTCCCTCTTTTCCTCTTCATTTGTTTAAAAAATAACATTTGCAAAAATTTGAAAGCTCATATAGATAATTTCTTACTGTATGCAAAAGTATGTACCACTTACCAACTATGATGTTTGCAAAAGTAGAATTTTCTATTGCAATCGTATTTTTTGCACCGGTCCAAGATAGCTTATGACCAAGGTCAAATGATATACAGTTTGTTAGAATATTGGAAACCATTTTTTGTATGGAGTCACCACCAATACATTTAATTCTTTTGTCCTACAAAAAATATTGTCTGTAAGTGCTATTATTAAAACATTATTTACAAGTATTCTTGACTCTTTGATATTTATCATTTCTAAATTAATCCATTGATTGATTTATATGAATAATGTGATACTTACAAAACATTTACGAAATGCTTCATTATTTTTTAATGTTTCATTGAATTCTAGGTATTGTTCAATTGATGTCAAAGGAAATTGAGGCATCAAATCCATAGTAACTTCATCAATTCCTTCGTTTGCTGGAAATTTATCTCTTAAAATAGCAAGTATTGCACTCAGTT